CCATGAATGGTCGAATTCGATAAATGTAACCGCAGCCATCTCATGAATTACTCGGTGGTTTGCAACAATTATTGCCTTTATTGTGTCTCCATCAGCTTCCATTGACCTTCCAGAACTTGGTGCATCCTCGGCGTCAAAATTGCCGGATCGAAATGTTGCAAACCAGTTTTGGCACTGGCGTTCTGTCAAGGCATCTTCTCCATACACACCCGATGAATATTTTTTCTTGCTTGAACAGTATTTTTACCAGTCCGATAGTAAAAATTTGTCGAAAATGCTGCTTCTCACTTCCTATATTTGAAAGGGAAGCAACCAAAAAATACTGCGTAGAATCAAGCTAACATTTTCACCTGTCAAAATATATAACGAGTATGCGGCTTAAGTGTGAAGTCGATCATAAAAAATGAAGTTAAATTTAAAGTTACCTAATAGTAGCCCTGCTTTTAGATACAGTGCGCGTCGAAGTGCCACCTGGTATCTCCCAAGGTGGCGAAACCGACAGTGTTGCGATGGTCCATTCAGCTATGCTGGGTGGTACTTCTTGCATGTTCAGGACCAGTCTTATCAAAGTGGTCAATGGCTAGAGGACAGAAAAGCACAGTCTCCTGGCTCTCCAGGTTAGGGCGGCTCCAAACTCCATAAAACGGACTTCCTGTAGCGCAGTGCCAAAATCCCACATCCTTTCGGTCAGGTTTTTGAACTAAAGGAATTAGTTGAGAGCCACAATCATACTTCTGTCAGAGTAACATGACACAATCCTACTCAGGCAATACAAGGAATTTCGCTTCAAACAATTTCTGGTCATCGCAGAGGATAGTCAACGCTGCCCTATCTGCCGCATCAAGCAAGGTGCAAAGATATGAAGATACGACTTATCAAGCCTTTGTCTTCCTTCCTCCCTCCCGCGCTTTTTCATCCTCATTGTCCCGTTACAAATTCACTCATCCTACCGTTTTCAACCCCACCAATTCTCCGCACCCACCCATCTTGATTTGATAGTCGCTTATCTTCTAAGTTCAATTCAAACGCAATTGCTGTGCGCCGCTCTAGTCCACTCGACAAGTACATGTCTAACCGAGTGGACAAAGTCAGTTCATCCGTTTCGCATTGGAACCATGGGTCCTCGCTAAGATTGGCATGCCTCAATGTGACCACTTGTTACAGAGTGGCCAGCAGGTAGCGCTTGCCCGAACGCTAGACTTTACCGATTGATATAGCTGTTAATCAAGAACGTCCCAGCAAGACTCCGGCTCTGTGCCTACCCTATGACACTGGTGGCGCCTTCTTATTGCGCCCCTCTGGAAATGACGCAGCTTCAAATGCCGGTCAACCTAGAATGAGAATTGCTCCGAGTGCATAGGATGAAGCTATGATCGATTGGATCCCAATGAACAGCCGGGTGTGCGACATCAGAATGGCTGGCTCGCCCAAAGCTTCGGAGTCGCACGGGGAGAAAACGGTGAATGCTTTTCAGTGCTATGGCCCCCAATACTAGAGAACTGACTTGCCGAAAAATGACTGTCATCAACTGAAGGAGCCCATTGGTCACAAAAGATGACGGATACTATGGTGATTTCTGGTGATCTGAACGCCCAAGTTGTAAAACTGTCCATCGAGAGATTCATATAGGTGGTCGACACGGTGTAAGCTCGTAATGGTGAGCAGTTGCTGCCCTCGTGTGAAGATGCTTGTGTGCTTTTGCGAGCACTAACTTCTGAAACAACCCCCGAAGAAGGGTGTCATGGAATCCACCAGCCTCCTACCATCAAATCAATCAAATCAATCACATCGCGATCAGTTACCGTTGGAGATGATGTGTTCAAAACTGTCGCTCCATTTGAAGCACGAGCGTGGAATCTGATCAAACAATCGTAGGCGCCGATCTGTTGGTGCGTTTCCGCAGACGTCCGCAATGACGCATAATACTTACCAAGTGACGAAGCCAGATGTTCTGATGGCATGCAGGCTGAATAAGCGCTCACCGAACACAGCTGAATACCATTGGTTTGATACCTGCCAGACGCCTTTAGTAGTAGGCATGACTTCATGTGACAAATCAACTTGTCAACCTGGACATGGGGTCTCTACGCGATTTCTGGAACTTCGCCAATGTCTCCCGACTAAAAACGAACAAAGTGAGATTCCCAAAGATAGGGAAAAACTGCGTTCTAGCCTGAAAAGAGACTGCGAAGGCTGGTGGTCTCATCATGGATGGGAGATGGAAACAGTCACTGTCCTTGGTTACCATCGGAAGTTGTTCCGTTTGATACGGGACCTAGTGTTACCGAGGCCATACGCGGGGGGAGTGGAGAGCCAATACACAACTCGTATAGACGTTTCGAGTGTTGGACCGAATACTTTGAAAAGCAGTTTAATCATCAAGAGTTATCATCTTCATATTCGAGCACTTATCGCCATTCGCCCTGGAAGGACTCCTCCGATCCACTATCACGCGCAGAGGTCGAACGTGAGACCAAAGCGTTAAAATTGAATTAGCGCAGAGCAGACAGACATCCCCTACAAATTCGGGGGATCTGTACTTCTGGATGATTTGTACAAATTACAAATGAAACTGCAGGAGCAGAAAACTGTGCCAACAGACTGGAGCAACTCAATTATAGTCCCAATTTTCAAGGGACGCTCAAGTTCGCAATGCAGCAACCATAGAGGAGTTTGCTGATCTGCATCTGCCGTCCTATATAGACTGATTTGCATTCGTTAAAGACAGATTGGCGTGGAATAAGGGGGGGGGGAGGGAATGATCGAAATCAAGGCTGTACTGACCACACGTTAACATAACGTTAACTGTTGGAACAGCTACATCTTAAATGGCCATTTACAGTACTCATGATCCTCGACATAAAAGGTGCTTTCGATTCGGTGGATCGGTGTCCTTTGGGACTGTCTGATCCGGAAAGGTGTGCCAAAATAGGTAAATACCATAAGAGGGTTGTACGCGCTTCAGCTGTGTGAGGCAAGGTTGCCTGCTGTCACTGTTCCTTTTTAATGTAATTTTTGACGAATTCATAGGAACGGTGCTAAGCTGCTCCCAGTTGAATGACTTCTTGTATTGGAGCAGACCGACGACATCGCTCCTGTATTTGACAACTTCAAATGTGCCAAACATCCTTCGGTAAATTAGCACTGGCAGCCAATCGTTTCGGATTATGCTTTGCACTTGCTAAATGTAGTTTTTTACTAAGGTTGACAGGACCAACCTCTGCACTGACTCTCAGCGGTGATCAATTGGAAATCATCGAGAAATTCAGATATCTAGGTAACCACATTAGCAGCTGTAGAATAGACAATGAGACCACAAACCGTATAGCAAAGGCTCGAATCACTTCTGTCAATCTCCGTCACTTGTGGCGCCGGCGCTATATTACTCTCGCTCTGAAGAGCAGGGTTCACAATGTAGCCGTCCTTCCTTTCAATACTACTGTAAAGTTGCAAAACATGGCCCATCAGATCGCCAGATCTGATCGCTGACTTCGCAGCTTACTTCATGCTTAGTGGGAACAGCGCGTAAGCAATCAGCGTGTTGGCGTTCCGTATTTGGCGCAAGAAAGCGAGGGAACCGTTCAGCACCGTCATATCAAGCACCAGGCTCCGATACCTGGGCCACGTGTCGCGCATCGCAGCACACCGACTCCCGTGACGTGCGTTGGCTGCGCGACCTGGAGGTGGATGGAAGAAGAGGAAGAAAACCAAACGATGACTTGATCAAGAGGAATGAAAGCCCTCACTTCGAACTTGGTGTCTTTCAACTGCCGGATTGAGGTCCTAAGGACGATGAAAACATTTGTTTGGATACACTTCTTGACAGGAAGAAGATAGGACCGCAATGACATTAGTTGTGAATTTCCTTGTCACCTCTTCTCCTACATAGCTTTCGTGGCGTCGAAACGCCACGTTGCCATAAGATACTAGTAGTGGTTTCATCCTTCATTGTTGCCCGTGTCGGAAGACCTGGGATGTAATCCCATCCATCGGGTGGGCAAGCGTACTAAGATGCTCTGCGTACCGAGTTTGCGTTCTCTCGCCCTAAGTTCACTGAGATTCAGCGGAATAGGATCTGACTGCCATGCAAGACGCGGGAGCCTTTGATTTCGCCATGTGAATGCTCTGTATCCCAATAAGGAGCGAAGTGCAGCTCAGTCGGTCCCATACTTAAGGGGCTCTTCTTGTTCAGGTGGTGCAAATTCAGCGATGGCCGGTTAGCTATAGAAACGAAAACGAATTTAGGGGCTCTATCGGAAGCAGACGTCCGGAGCGCGATCACAGCCATAAATCAACTCCGGGTTGTTGGGCGGATTGCCTAGAACCTGCACTGCATAAGGATAGAGACGTCCTCTACAAAGCATTGGTCAATCTGTACAAAGATGTCTAGTTGGAAAAGAATGCCCCAGCTAACCAGAGTGAATCAACCTCGTCTTCTGACATGCGCAGCGCGCCTTCAAAGTGGAGAGTGATGTTGCAGGACCACCAGTTACTTGGCGACCACTTGATCCTTCGATAGCGGGGAAATGGAGGCAGTTGATCAATTCATATACCTTGGAGGCTGCATCAGTTCACGTATTGCAAACGCTAGATCTGTCATCGAAGCATTAGTACAAACCAGCACGGATTTTATTGTGTCGCCACTTCCTGCAATAAACAAGTTTGTTACATATTGCGTGTTAAAAATGGAGCGACGCCATGATTTAACTGTTTTGGTCGCTTCATCAAAGGCATTATGGAGTCCGACAAGAAGTTCCGTAAGTCCGGCGTAGTTGAAGTTATATTTTAGATTTTTGATGAGCACTTTCCTTTCGTCACCACCGAATGGCCGGTTGGACAGATAGCTGACCCAACCTTCGTATTTGTAGTTGGTTAATCTCGTCAATTAATCTCACAAAGCGGCCTGCCTCTTTATTTTAACCTTCGCTGTACTGCGATCTATCGCCATACCTAGCTATTCTGTTTGTTGTAAACGTACAATTTGTAAGCAAGTGGCTGTGTTCGTTAAAACATTTTTATATTTCTTCTTACAATTGTATCTATGAGAACCCGTGATATGTACACAACAAGCGAGTAATGGAAACCGCAGGTAAACACAGATGAAATTATAAGCAAACCGAAATTGTGTAATTGTAATAGGCCAAAGGGAAGAGATGAAGAAGCTGACAGTTAAAATCAGGTTCAAAATAAACCGCGGGATCGATGACAATCGGAGGCAATAGTGATCCAGGGCAAACATTCGGTCGACCTCAACGATTGGAAGGCAAAGGAACGCAGGAGTTATAATGTTCGCCTAATGCGAAAGCATGGCGATGATACCTGAAAAAGTGCAGGAAAATAAATAAATTAATAAAGGTACAACACAAACCGTAGCTCTGAGGCGGCAATTTGCTTCAGCTACAGACAGCTTCAAATCCATATAATGGCAAAATGCACTGGAAACAAGAAAAGAGATGTAGATCGGAAGTTTGGACACCACCAAGGATACTGCATGTTGTTCTTATGAATTCCGAACTCAAGAAAATGAGGAATGAGTACTGCACAATTTCCCGATCAATCAAGTGACAGTACATCGGTTCACATGTTGCATATCTGCTTGTGCATTAGACTATGATACCTAAGAGATTTTCAACTAAATCTACCATTCTCGTCGTATCTGGCTAGTCAATGTTGATCTGCACGCTGATCGTTTTCGAGTGCCGTTTGGTTTAATGCGTTACATACAACTGGGCCTTTTCTTTCAATATGCCGACGCGTAGCCCAAAGGCAACGAGTTGGCCTTTTAATTTCATGGTGCAGGTTCGATCCTGTGTAGGGACAGGGTGACCCTTGAAGTACCCTTAGCTCACGAGCAACTGGTGGCAGCTGAGCGGCAGTGAAGAGTCGGTACTGCGTAGCAGCGTACCGCTGATGTTTTGCTCTTTCTTTTCTGTTCTTGCAATATCTCTTAGACAGTACTCGTGGAAATTCCCGGTGCTGGGAATGGCATCACATATTAATGGATCCCAGAAAATTATATGCTCGTAAAATAAGCACGGCTTTCTGGAATGCTTAACAATAAATAGTCTTTCGTCAAACGATATACTGATCGGAGAGGACACCTGCCCGGAATAGATACCAAGCAAATCATCAAGCACTGAGGGTTAAATGACTGCGATTGAAGCAAGCTGGCAAAAAATAGAACTTGAGCGCACAGCCGAAGAGCGCATCATCTTGTAAACTAGCACTTATATACCCCTAACTAGTGTCACAGCAAAATCCAGTTCAACAACAATCGGCAAACATCAAAGCCGCACGGAGAAATCTACGTCGAACACCCACCAGTACTAGTGTAGGGAAAATCGAGCCAGGTAGCATATATCGCGGCCACGCAAAAGAGCATGGAACTATCAGCTGCTTCCAGAACAGGAGCTGATCTCAATATCCTAAAGGTAATGCCTGAGAAAGAAACCCTAGATACATTGAAAAGATAAGGTATACTCTGCGATTCACTGGTTTCCTGTGCCACAGCTTCACACTGATCACCAAAATGTCCACACCTAATTAAACTGATTCTGTCCGACCTAAGAGACGAAGAACCTAGACAACAATGCGGCAACATGTGGGAGATAACTGCATATGCGAACCTCCGCGTCACTCGATATGACAACAAAAGCCGTCCATTCATATATAGTCTCAACGCCACCCAATCAATCCGACCCGATGGTCTACTTCTTCCCGCAAAGATAGACCAACATGCAATCAGTTACCGACCATAGAGCCAGATTACAACTTTTCTCTGGCAAACGGTAGCTCTCAGCTGCTACTACCCTAATCCCACATGACCAGCTAGGTAGAATCGAGTCATTTTTCTAACGAAATATTTCAGGTACGATAGCTGTTTCGGCGGATGCGTACTTCCAGGAGAACAAGGAAATTGAAAGAGATGACGGTATACTATCACATTTGAAAGGCAGTTTTGAGGCTGCAATTAAGCACCCAGCCTTAAAGTTGGTGAAGATATCATTTCGACTGTTCACACGTTCACAAAAACGTTTAGCAAACTTGTGGTGCACGCATCAGAGCAGAAATTATTCTATCATCAAAGTAAAACCGTCATGATTTCGAAATGTTCTGGATACAAATCGGTTTTTGTAGGTTCTTATAGTGGCAACGATCCGTATTTGACGTAAGTTTCTTCAGGCCAAGTCATTTATAAGGAGAACAGTAAAAACATGTCCTTGGAGTGTTTGGCATGGCTAGCTCAGAGGCTCCTTGAATGCCGAAACCTGAACCGCATACGTGGTATAGCGTGTGAAAAGGATCCGTGACCACAAGGTGACACATCAGAAGAATCAAACGAAGCGATTCCGCATGAAGCGCATACTCATATATGCAGGTTAATGGTCTTGGAAAAGTGCAACACAGAATCCCAGCGCTGGATGCAACTGATAGGCACACGCCGTCAGAAATGAAAGCTGTCAACATCTTACGGTTTTATTACTTTCATATGTTTCAGGTTCACCAAACCAAGTATTCCCCCTGTTTCTATTCACCCACCATCTGGTTCTCAAATATCTCCTTTACTACAGATGCCGCGTTGAAGTTGGTATCCCTGAATGTCCAGTTCTACTGGAGTCGATAAGATTCGGTCGAAGGCCCTGCAGACAGCAGACAGTGACCTAGCAGAACCAGTGGCAAGTTTTTAGCAGCGCTAGCTAGAAGAAAACAGTCTCACCAATATAGAGGCGAGCGGTCATCATTCCAATTCGCAAAAAAGGTAGTCGTACTGACCGTGTCAATCGTCGTCCGATAACGTTACATCCAATGTTTTCAAAAGTGATGGAACCAATCATCGCAGATGCCATAGCGCAATATCTGGAAAAGCACAACATAAAAGCCCCGGATCAATATGGTTTCTGTCATCTCTCATCTACGACTAAGCAAAGTAGCTGGACCGAAGCAGTTGATGGTGGAGCAAGTGTCGATGTCATCCACCTGAACTTCTCCACAGGGTTTCATCGTTTAAACAAACGAATTCTCCTCCACAAGCTTCGGAACTACAGCACTGACAACCCAATCCTAGGTTGTATAAACAATTTTCACACGAACGTCGCCTAGAGTTGAAAGTCCGGGAATCAAGGTTCGACGCAATCAAAGTGGAGTGCAGTGTATCAGAAGGCCCGGTGCTGGGGCATTGCCTACTCCCGGTTTTCGTAAACGATCTACCGAGGGCAACTGCCACTTTTCGCGAATGATATCAAGGTATGGCGAGTTATCAGAGGGCCGGACAATCACGAAGGGCTTCAGCGCGATCTGGACGCGATTTCGAACGATTCAGTATGATGTCCAGTAGTAAAATGTAATAGAATGTCGAGTTGTGTACTACACCATAGGCATGCCCATACTTATAGGCTTATGGCACACAGATTGGCGGGAGGGTCAATGGCGCGCTAAGGCTTGTGGCAGCGAGATCCAGACAGATCGTCAACCCGCTGCTGCTAATGTTGAGCCGTGGTCTTAAGTCCTGGACACATCCTCGTGGCGACCACTGGATGGCAATTGGGTTACACACTTCTAGCTAAGAGCCGGGACACATTGTTCCGCGTGAGTCGGTTCACTGACTCATGGCGCACGGCCCGCTGCCTTTCGGGTGTACATTTTATCGAAGGCTTTGGTTGAGAACCCGAGTCGCCCTGGCAATATCCCATTCCAAGCACAAATCATGGACCTTGCCAATAATAATCACATGCTGCATCGGCCGTCGCGCAGTGATCTTAGGGAAAGGGTCGCCTTATCTGCTGCATATAGCGGGGTGGACAAGCAAAAACATGCTACCACTGACGCCTCCCTTCTTTCTTCTTCTCCTGCACAAACTCCCCCCGTTCCCGTTTCACCCAATCCACAACTCCCTCGAATCCAGGTCACCACCGATACGTTTGCCCGCCAACGCCGTCGTATGCCACCACACAGAGCGCTCAACATCGAGTGCAGGAACGTGCACAAACTACTCGACCGGAAAACGAGTGAGCGTACCGAGTGACGCGCTGCACTGGTCGCGATGGAACTCGCGCGCTACAGGATCAATATTGCCGTACTCAGCCAGACTCGGCTCGCTGACCAAGGCAAGCCGCATGAGGCTGGTACTAGTTAGACGTATTACTGGGTGAGGAACGCCACGACAGCATCACGTAAACATGGGGGCGCGTTTGCACTAACCGACCGCCTAAATAGCCAGCCAACCGGCATCGGCGCAAGAATGATGACTGTACGCCTGCGATTTGAAAGAAATTACCACGTATGGTTTCGTCATGTGTTATCCGGATGAAAAGGTCAGATTTATGCTCATTTATCCTACGTGATACGGTCCGTGCCGAGGAGCGACCGGCTATTCCCACTGGGTGAGTTCAACGCGCGCGTTGGGCGTGATGCATCGGCGTGGCACAGCCGATGGGAACGGTGACCAGCTGCTCTCACGGTGCACCACTCACGGCCTGGCGATCACGAACACGTATGCACTTGGTGCTAGTGATATAGCTACTTGGACGCATTCACAGAATGGTCACGCTCAACTGCTCGACTATGTCATCGTGATATACGTGAAGTGCGCATAACAAGTGTACTGCGTGGAGCTAAGTGTGGCACTGATCACAAGTAGGTGCGAACTAAATTGTACATAGGTTTTCGAAAATCTATGTATCGTCGCTTGCCATAAACCGGCGCGAGCTTAACATTCTTTCCACAGGTATTGCCAAGAAGAGGATGGAACTGGAGAAGTGGATGGCTATCCGCCTTGTTCATGTGGAATCTATATACTCAGTGACATGTGACTCCACATCCGTGGCCAGGTGGCTGCTTCTGCAGAAGAAACAACCGGGATCACAAATTGGTTTGATGGCAACATTGCGATCATTAGCGCATAGGTGTCGGCGAGGAATGCAGCGTTCGCTGCAAATGCGACGGAACCTGCTAATTGCGAGAAAGAGTCATTTTCGCGAACTTCGACGGCGATTGACTCGAGAGCTCCGTCGCAACAAGAATGCATGGGGGGCGGAGATGAAATGCTACGAAGAACGCCGCCAGTATAAGAAATCCTTTGACTCCTTGAAGGTGGTGTATGGACCCACACTGCAGCTGATGAGGACGATGTTCGATCCTATTTCAGGTGCTGCCTGCACACAGACTGCAAATCTGGCTAAAGCACTTTGATTGTCTCTTGAAAAACCGTTCGGAGATTGACTGGGCTATGTTGCACAGGATGCAATAACAAGTGATGAAGATTTCAGAGATTTGTGAACAATCGGTAGTTAGATGAATATGTGTCTTACCGACAAGCGAAC